TATGCTTCTCAAGAAAATCCAGAGTTAAGATAATTTTTGTCATCGATATTGCAAGGTTATATAGAGCATGGCATTCTTCAATTTCCTTTGGATGTTCTTATCAAGTAATGGTGGCTGTAAACCTAGCCTGTGTTGAAGGTCGTTGGATATACAGCAGTTTGGCTAACTGTGCCCTCAGGCGAGGCAGTTACTTGCCTCTGATAATGTATTTACATGTCATGGAGCAAGGTTCCCAGCCAAACCTGAATTGGATCACAATCCAATTTATGTTAAAACTGATTCTTGGTTGGGTGCCGTGGCTCACTCACGCCTGTAATCCCAGCACTTTGGGAGGCTGAGGCAGGCGGATCACCTAAGGTCAGGAGTTCGAGACCAGGCTGACTAACATGGTGAAAGCCTGCCTCTGCTAAAAATACAAAAATTAGCAGGGCATGGTGGCTCATGCCTGTAATCCCAGCACTTTGGGAGGCCAAGGCAGGCAGATCGCTTGAGGTGAGGAATTCGAGACCAGCCTGGCCAACATGGGGAAAGCCCATCTCTACTAAAAATACAAAAATTAGCTGGGTGTGGTGGTGCACACCTGTAATCCCAGCCACTCAGAAGGTGGAAGCTTGAAAATCACTTTAACCTGGAAGGCAGAGGTTGTAGTGAGCTGAGATCGCACCACTGCACTCCAGCCTGGGCCACAGAACGAGATGCCATCTCAAAAACAAAAAAAAAACCTCCCTACTAAACCAGAAGAGTGGCTGGGATGGGAAAAGATTACTGGTCCAATGTTTTCATTATATTTTTCATATCATTTGGAATCTCATGCATCAAGCATGCCCCAGTACTGTTAAATACAATATTTTTACTCATCATCAGGTCGTTCAATACCAGTTATTACAGGATAGGGAAGTCAGTCAGAGAAGGCTTCATAGAGATGGCCCTTGAGCTGGGCCTGGAAGAAATGAGGACCTCAAGGAACAGAGAAGAATGTTAGTGGGTAAAAAGATGGGCTGGATTCTGTCAGATTTTGGAGAAAATAGAGGGTAGTGAAGTGGTTAGGCAGTGAATGTGTTCCATTTCATAGTTCAAAATGTGGGGCTACGTTTTGCCTACCTGAACTTCATTATTAATGTGAAAAATTGAATTGTTTTCAGTCACCATTGAGAACACCAAAGATACACAAGTAGCTTAGATTATTTATTTATTTTTGACGGAGTTTCACGCTTGTTGCCCAGGCTAGAATGCAATGGCGCGATCTCTCCGCAACCTCCACCTCCCCTGGGTTCAAGTGATTCTCCCGCCTCAGCCTCCCCAGTAGCTGGGATTACAGGCATTCGCCACCACGCCCAGCTAATTTTGTATTTTTTTTAGTAGAGATGGAGTTTCTCCATGTTGGTCAGGCTAGTCTCAAACTCCCGACCTCAGGTGATCTGCTCGCCTCGGCCTCCCAAAGTGTTGCTGGGATTACAGGTGTGAGCCACCATGCCCGGCCATCGCTTTGTGTTCTTAAAATTAATTTAAAACTAGAAAACTTGAGGAATGATGGTTCAGATGAGTGTCAAACCTTGCAAGATGTTTTTTCCTGGAAAAGGGTGATTAAAATTGGTTCAGGGTGGGGCCTTCCAGGTCTGCTCTAGTGATTGGGTCCTTACTGCTCTGGTGGTGGCAGTGATAAGCTTTTTGTAACAGAAGGGGCAAAAGATTGTGCTTCTGGCCGGGCGTAGTGGCTCACGCCTTGGGATGTTCTTGTCAAGTAACTAATCTTAGTACTTTGAGAAGCCAGGTGGGTGGATCACCTTAGGTCCAGACCACCCTGGCCAACATGGTGAAATCCCGTCTCTATTAAAAATACAAAAATTAGCCGGGCATGGTGGCAGGCGCCTGTAATCCCAGCTATTCGGGGTCTGAGGTGGGAAAATCGCTTGAACCCAGGAGTCAGAGGTTGCAGTGAGCCGAGATCATGCTGTTGCACTCCTGCCTCGGCAACAAGACTGAAACTCTGTCTCAAAAAAAAAGATTATGCTTCTAAGAATATGACCCATTGCATATGGACGCTGGTCTTTAAAGCTTGGATTTAAAAATAAGTTTTTTTGTAATGGGTTTTAGAACTTTTTTTCTTTTTTTTTGAGATGGAGTCTCACTGTCCCCCAGGCTGGAGTGCAGTGGCGCCATCTTGGCTTACCACAACCTCTGCCTCCCGGGTTCAAGCGATTCTCCTGCCTCAGCCTCCCCAGTAGCTGGGATTACAGGTGCCCATCAGCCTGCCCAGCTAATTTTTGTGCTTTTAGTAGAGATGGGGGTTTTACCACCTTGGCCAGGCTGGTCTCTAACTCCTAACTTCGTGATCCACCTGCCTCAGCCTCCCAAAGTGTTGGGATTACAGGCGTGAGCCACCACGCCCGGCCAGAAAGCTTTTTCTTAATGCCAGTTATCATACCCTTTGCTTTACAGTTTGCATATACCTCACAGCTGGCTTTGTGCCGTGTGCGCGTTTAATATGCTCTCAGTGTACTCGTCTGTAGGAAAAGCTTTAAAATAGTCCAATAAATGTCTATTTTGCAAATCTCAGGATCATACCACTTTCACGTATCTAGATGCCCTCAAACCGAAAATTCAGATTTCAATTAAGGCCTTTAACTTAACATAGGACTTTGATTACAGAGATATATTTTGCTTTGACAGAAGTTAAGGTTAATGTCTTAAATTTCCAGAGATGAGAATACAATTTCTATAACCCAGTAACCCATTTAACTTCACTTAGATTATCAATTTTCAGCCGTGAACAGGCCACTTAGTTTCTCTGGTAAGTGGCCTCTTCATCTGTAAAATAGCAGATCTGTGTTTCGTGTTTCTTTTTGTGTCAAAGATCAAATCACTTGTAGAACTATTCATTCAGTCAGAATCAGGATTTCTTCCCCTTTCCCTTGAAGATGGTTTGTGGTATTCGTAGCATAACTGGTCTTGTCTGCTTTAGTCTTAATTTTTTCAAGTGATAGTCTGTTGTCTTTTTGTGTGTGTCACTTTTTTTTTTTTTTGAGACGGAATTTTGCTCTTATTGCCCAGGCTGGAGTGCAATGGTGTGATCTTGGCTCACTGTAACCTCCGCTCCCCGGGTTCAAGTGATTCTCCTGCCTCAGCCTCTCCCGAGTAGCTGGGATTACAGGTGCACACCACCATGCCCAGCTGATTTTTGTATTTTTAGTAGAGACAGGGTTTCACCATGTTGGTTAGGCTGGTCTCGAACTCAGGCTGGTCTCGAACTCCTGACCTCAGGTGATCCACCGGCCTCAGCCTCCCAAAGTGCTGGCATTACAGGCGTGAGCCACTGCACCCAGCAGTATGTGTCACTTCTTTGTCTACTCAGAGCATAGTGGTTCATACCTGTAATCGCAGCCCTTTGGGATGCCAAGGTGGGAGGATTGTTTGAGGCCAGGAGTTCAAGACCGGCCTGGGCAACATAGAGTGACCTTGTCTCTACAAAAAAAAAAGGAAATACATATATAACAAGTATTAAAAAGGATCACACTTAATTTAGTTGTCATGTAAATTGTGATTAAATGCCTTTTCTAGAAAAGTGATAAGGTATTTTTTTTTTTTTTTTTTGAGG